TTTACTAGGATGGCAAGGGGAAGTGCAATTTGAAATGTGATTAATGGAACAGCTGAAATGGAAAATACCAAAAATGATGTTGATTTCTGTGTTTCCATATAGTTGGGTCCTTAAAGCAGAGTTATTTTTTGTATCCCTCCCCCTTTGTTTTTTCTCATTTCTTTAAATTGAGGATTCTTGGTTACTGAAATTGAACTTTGAATTAGAAGGCACAGATCAGGCCAGACAACCAAATAAGAGGTCTGGTGATGGGGTCAGGCCTTTGGGGCTTTGCTACTACAATGGACCAAGCACACAGAAATGCCACTGACTTTCTCAGAGCCTCAAACTATTGAGGAGTCATTCCCAGTTGTTTGATGCAATTATTCGTGATCTTCCAAAAGGTGAGCAATTCACTTCAAGTGTACCATTAGGCCACTTGAATGTCATAAATTATTTTCTTTTGAAAATTTTCAAGTGTGTGCCTATTAACTCACACAGCAAAGTCGACTTCCATTTTCTATAATTAGAAGGAAAGAAGTTCTGAGAGAAAGACTCCCTTGATACACTCTTGGACAAATGAAAATGACAAAATCTACAACAGTTAATCTGAGGAAATTGGTTTCTCCATACCCCTCCTTCAGTTCATATTAATAAAAAATGAAGACAGTGCTGAGTGGATGGCAGGGCCCTGGTTCCTGAACTCCAACCTTGTACCATGTAATCTCTTTATTTCATCTCTTCCCGGATGCCCTTGTTTGTCTTTAATATACAGTCGCCGGATGACCTGCAAACAGCCAGGTCTTGGGCTGACTGGCCATAACACTCCACTCAACATTTCATGTCCAATCATGGCTGTTTAGACATGTCCCTCCTCTATCCTCATCAGTGGTGGCTGAAGCAACAAGCCAGTTGAGATGTTTTTCATTGAAATCGCTGACTTCAGCAGCTGTTCTCGTATCGCAGGTGGTGACTCAACCTGTGTCTACATCGTTAGAGAGCATAAGGTGATCCTATTCATTTCTACTGTTACCTGCTTGTTGTAGGAAATCATTCTCCCCCCTAACCGAGCTCCATATTACTATGAGTCAAGGTTCATATTTTCAAGAAGCACGAGTGAGAAGAACTAGATTCGGTCAGCACTGAAACTCTGTTTCCTTGCCAAATAACCCCCAAGAGGCCTGGTTGGAAACCCAAGTACTCACAACTTGAATGATACTGACTTCGTAGAAGCTCTGCTGGTTGGGTCACTCCACTCTGAAAAGAAAAGACACTAACATTTACTATGCATGTTTTCAAATGTCAAAAGGTTGTTTTTTTGAATTAAATGGTATCCAAACATGTGGCTCTTTCAACCATACTGGTTCATAGCATCCTGCCATGGATAACAGATGACCCCCCTCCCCCCACAAAAAAAAAAAAGAAAAAGAAGAAGAAGGATCTAATTGGATGTATCACAATTTGATTTTGTTGTTATTTCATGTTTTAATGCTATTTGGTAGGAAAGAGGGAAAAGTGAAGGAGGAGAGGACGTGGCTATTTGGACTAAGAAGGATTAAGAAAACACCTACTTTGTAAGGTGAATCCTGGGGTCAGATGTTGGGATTCCTATAAGAAAGAACACATACAATATAAACATCAGTTGTGTGATACAAAGGAGAACAGTATTTGTTATTGCTGAAAATATAACTTGGTTAATGTTGCAATAGGACACCACCGTCAGCAAATCCATTCGTTAAGCTCCCGTCTGTAGCTCTACTTGACGGATAAACATTTGCTCTTCAAACCTGCTGCAACATGATCATAACTGCCATTTTATCAGAATTGCAAGTAAGACTGGAGTCTATTTGGAAATGTGTGCAACCTGGGAACAAATGACCTGCATGTGTGAAATCCAAGTGTATAATTTCTCACTTAGCTAGGCAATGGTGCCTCTAAGGGAGTAAAGGGCCTCGGTTCAAACAAACCAGTGATTGTGGGTTTTGTAAGCAGTGTAAACAAGACCATAATTAATAGAATTGCTCATTTGTTCTCTTTAATTGAAATAACTCCGACTTTCTACCTTATAACTAGGACACGTATCAAAATAGATGTACCTCATTTTGCACAAGAGATGTGTTCCTAAAGCTTCATTATGAGTTTTTTGAGGTATAGGAAGTAATTTGTAACATACTAGTGGAGTGCATTATTTAAAGGGATTTAGGTCCCTGGGTGGAACAAATAGTTTGAGCTCAACTACTAACTGAAGGGTTAGAGGTTTGAATCTACCCAGTGGCACCACAGAAGAAAGGCCTGGTGATCTACTTCCATAAGATTACAGCCATTGAAAACCCTATGGAGCACAGTTCTACTCTGAAACATGCAGGGTCACCATGAGTCAGAATCAACTCCACAGCAATGTTTTTTTGTTTGTTTTTAATTTGACTTGAAAGTCACCACACACAGAAATCATTCACTGTTTGGATTAATCTGGATTTGCACTCTGCAGTTTTGCTGGGAGTGTGGCACACCTATGCATATCCTGACCAAACTTGCAGGCGGAAGCACTACAGTGACCTACACAGCACGCAAAGCACAGTGTGCCTGGAAGAGCCAGTGAGCATCGACTGCAAAGCAAGCATTCCCAAACTGGAGACAATTAATTTAAGTAAACACAAGAATCAGTTACATCAATCACTGCTGCAAGCAATCTACTCATTAAGCCTAATCTTGCCATCCTATAGAGTAAAAAATGGGCTCACGACATAATTTATCTTTAAAAGAACTAGGCAAGCATGCTAACAATGTGCTTTAATCAAAAATGAACTTTTCGATCTCTTTAGCGTGATTCTGTGATCCAAGAGATTTGTCTTCTGGCAAGCTCAGCTCTCCAGAAGACCACCATAAACTCAACAGGGGGCTAAGCCTCTCAGCTAAAGAGCTCTCACAAAGCCCAGTTTGCTGCTCAAAGGCTTCCCTACTCACACTTAGAATTGACTTTTGACAAAGAGTTGTCACAAGCTTGGCCATTTGATCTCCATCCCTGACCAAATCACAAATGGCAAGAAAAGGGAAGCACTTCTAGGGGTCCAGCCACTAGGAACGCTGAGACGTGGAAACCAGCAGCACCGGAGTCAACAAAAAATTACGCGGCAAATTCAGAACTTGAAAAGCACAAGAGTCTATGGCCATTTATTATAAAGGGAAGCATTCCTACCCATCTTGATAGCCCCAAGGGCGCAACTACTGCATAGCATGATATTACAGCATAGTGCAATAACTGATGCTCACAATAACGTCTAAGTTATCAAGAAAGACTAAAGCATGTTCAGTATCTTTGTAAGAAGTCTGGAAAATATTAACTCCATGGCAAAATGCTTTCTATGACGTGGTTCCCATGGAAGGATAAACTTTGGTTATGCCAAAATTTCAGTAATTCAAAACATCTTGTTTCCCAATAAACGAGGCATTAATCATTGGTATCTACTTAACTATATAGCAGTATTTCTAATTACGATTTTTTTTAAAGGGATTTCATTACAAATGTGTAGTTCACGTTTGGGCAAGTATAGCCTTAGGAAATTAAATGACAAGTTCCAAAGTCAATCAAACCAAATATCTGATTGGAAAGTGGGAAAAAAGCAGTAAGTTTCTGTACTGTTCCTGAAGCCTGGACTGGTTTTATAACCTTCGTCCAAGTATTCTGGACTTTAGAGCCAACAAATCCCTTGTTTTAGGGCAGCAGGGCAGCGATGCGTGGCGCAAATTGGAAGACTGTGTTAGTTACTGAATTCCAATAATTGGTGTTGTGTATTCTTGGTGCAGTTTTTAGCATTAAGCTGGATAAGACTTAAAAACAAAACAAAACAAAAAATCTGAACTTCTAACAAAGGACGCACATTTGATTATCACCAAAGCTACTTTACATATATACCAAACCCTGATTGGAAAGGGTTTGGTCATAAATCTATAAATCTATATAAAAAAAAGAATTCTTCATGCAATAATTTTCAATGTACATAGAAATTTAAAAAAAATACCTGACTTTGATTTGTGCATTTCTTTCATAGACATGTCATATATGCAATTTTAGTAATAGCACATAATGATGCCAAATTGTTTTTAAAAACTTATGCAAGGCTTTTAAATACATACTAGCTTTGATAACAATCTTACAATCAGAGGCTACTATAGGATCTAGAAGAAGTCCCTGGGTAGTGCAAACAGTTAAAAACTCGGTTACTAACCAAAAGGTTGTCCACCCAGAGGTGCCTCGAAAGAAAGGTCTGGTGATCTACTTCCAAAAGATCACAGCCGTGAAAACCCTGTGAAGCACAGTTCTACTCTGACACACAGGAGAGATCAACATGAAGGCAGTTGTTTTTGTGTTTTGTTTATAGGACCTAGATTTTAGAGCAGGGGTCCACAAACTTTTCCTGTAAAGGCCCACATAGTAAATACTTTCAGATCTGTGGCCATATGGTTCCTGTCACAACTACTCAGCTTGGCTGTTGTAGCATGAAAGCACCTGTAGACAATAAGTTAACAAACGGGAGTGACTGTGTGCCAATAAAACTTTATTCGTAGACACTGAAATTTGAGTTTCGTATAATTTTCACGGAATACCAAATGTCAGGAAATATTATTTTTCTTTTGTTTTTTTTTTAAGCATTTAAAAATGCAAAAACCCTCCAGCTGTCATTTGCCACCTTGTGTTCTAGAGAATGGTTACGTCTGTGGAACCTTTACTGGACTTGCCCTGAGGGCATTGTTAGCAACTCGAATTCTGCTTCGTATGGACCACTTTCCTTGTGGGGTTTTCCAATTTCTACGAGAAAACATGGCATTTTCAACTTGGGGTACATAAACAAACTTCAGTGAGTTGAGAATGTTCAACCGTATTTATTTTTAGAAGATTGCAGAATCATAGACTATTTGAACTGAAAAATCCATTGGGATCATAGAGTCCACACCATCCCCTGTCCTGTATGGGGAAACTGAGGCTCAGAGGAGCCTGAACAGGAATACACAGCCAGGACTAAAAGCAGCCAGGTCCCACACTCCTAAGACAGCATTCTTTCCATCCTGCAAGTGCTGAGAGTGTGATGTCACCCAGTTTTCGTGCCACCACCGAGGCAATCACTTCGGCTATACATATTTACTGGATAGAGTCATATTTTGGAAGGTACAATTTGAACTTGGATATCTGTAAATCTGTGTAATCAAATAACACACTGAAGGAGAGCATGACCCCTGGCACCAGAATGCCTGGATCTGGATATCGGTTCCCTCATTTATTAGCTGGGTGATGCTGAACACGATACTTAACTACTCTGTGCTCATTTTTCTCCTCTGTAAATCAGGGAACTAAAATTACCAGTCTCATCGGGTTGTAGTGAGGGTTGAATTGTTGTATTATTTTAGGTGCCATCCAATCGGTTCCAACTCATAGTGACAAAACACTGCCCGGTCCTGCGCCATCCTCACAATCTTTGTTATGCTTGAGCCCATTGTTGCAGCCACTGTGTCAATCCATCTCGTTGAGGGTCTTCCTCTTTTTCACT